AGGGACAAGGAGCAGGGGTAGGGAAGGTCCCATCCGGCCTCAGTGGGTGACCTAGCCTGAGCTGTCCTCAAACTCCTAGCCAGGGAAAGCCACCATGTCCACTCCCAAGGCTCTAGGGGGGCTCCTTCTTGGCTTCCTCCAGACCCCAGGGCCCCAGGCGTTCCTGGTCTTGTGGCCGCATCACTCGGCTCTCTGCCTCCACCATCACATCACTGTGTCTCTTTCTGTCCTCTCCTCTTCATAATTATAGGGACAATAAGTCATTCAATTTAGGGCCCATTCTGTCTTGTCCTTAGATAAGGTCACGGTCTAACATCTGGATGGACATGAATTTGGGGGGACACTGGCCAACCAGCTGAGCAAGCCGTTATGGTCACTCATGCAGGATGGATACCATGGGTCACTTGGGGGCACAAAGGCCACTGTTAGCAGTGGCAGAGCCCCAGGACCCAGACTGGCAGTGCTCTGTACTCCCTGAACAGCACTTTGTTGTCTCTGCACAGTAAAGATTAGCTGAATGAGGGCGCCTGGGTGACTCAGTCAGTTGAGTGCCCAACTCTTGATTTCAGCTCAGATCATGACCTCACAGTCCATGGGATCAAGCCCTGTGTCAGGCTCCATGCTGACAGTGTGGAGCCTGCTTGGGATTCTCCCTCCCTCTCTCTCTGCCCCACCTCTGCTCTCTCTCTCTCTCTCTCAAAATAAATAAACAAAAAAATTAGCTGAATGAGCAAAAATGGATTCTGCTCTCAACTATCGCCAGTTCCATCTGAGTCTGGGCACCCCCTCCAACTTTGAAGCTAACACCCCAAAGGGCTGAACCGCTGGTTCCCCTCTGACAATGGCATCTGAGGGGGTGCTCAGTCCCCTGGCACAGCTGAGGCTCTCGGTCATGCCACTTAGGAGAGCTCTTCTCGAAACGTGCTGACCTTCTCTGCTCGCACCGAAAGTCACCACCCCTATCCCTGCCAGTCGTCCCTGCCAGGCTCCCTGCACTGTGGAGCCTCCCAGGGAGACCGAGTTAGGGTGGCAGAGATAAGCCCAGCTCCCCAGGGGCATACACGTGCCCAGGGTGAGGCCTCACCCATGACCCCTACCCACCAGGCTGGGGCTGAGTTGGGGAACTTCACCTCCCTACCCCTCTCTATCTCTGGGGCCTGGGGGCTGCACAGGAGGGGCCTGGTGCAGAAAAAGCACAGACCCTACGAACGATAGGGGTGAAGGACCCAAGACCAAGAATGCTCCAGGACGCCCGTAAAAGTGGCAGCTCTCAGAGCTGTCCAGGGTCCTGGCCAAACCACCTCGGATTCCTCCCTCTGAGGCAAGCATCTGCTGAACACTTCTATGGATGACAGAAGGCTCTCTCCCAGCCAGCCCAACTTTTTTTCTTTTCTTCTTATTCTTCCTCCTCCTCTCCTCCTCTTCTCCTTCTCCCTCTTCCTTGCCTTGAACAACATGTATTTTGTTTGGACACTGGTCAGGCACATCACGAGGCAGCTCGACACGTGAGCTCATCCCATCTTGTTCATGACCCCATGGAGGAGGAGGCTGGCTAGTGAGTGCAGAAGGCAGGCCCGTTGCTAGCTGCCACTCTAGCTGGTAAGCAGGGTCTGGAGGAAATGAACTAAAGTCTTGCTCTTCTTTCCACAAAACCACAGCTGCCTTCCTTGAGGGCCTATCCATCCTCCTCAACTGGCCCAGCTCCCAGTGGACGCACTCTTGGAGCAGCGGCCCTAAGCCCACACGAACATCCGCTCCCTGTCTCCTGGCGTGTATTCAGTAAACTGCCTGTGTGCCCACCTCCCCAAAGGCGCTCCTGGAGAGGAGCAAGTACTTTTACATTCTCCTCTGGAACCCAGCCTTCGGCCCAGGCTGAGCACAGAAAAGTCTGTGCATTTCACTTAGTGTTTTAAGAGCTCTACTGAGATACGACTGGCACGCAACAAACGGTACATACATAAAAATACAGCTGGTGAGCTCTGACGCATGTCCGCAGCTGTGAAACCATCACACAACGGAGATAATATGCTTGTCCATCACCCCCCATGGTGGGTGGAGCCCCCAGAAGTGCTGGGGCCAGTGGCGGGTAAGAAAGTGTCAGGGCAGGAGCAGAGGAGGGCAGCCTTGAGAGACAGACAGGTGTTACAGTAGGGCTTGGATGAGTGAACGCACACAGGCGGCCCTGCGCCCATAGCAGGTATCGTGGAGGAGGCTATGGGATAGTTAACATTAACTGGAGGCATAAGGATGTTTTAAAAAGAACAAAATACCAGGCACCTGGGTGGCTCAGTTGGTTAAGTGTCTGACTTCAGCTGAGGTCACGATCTCATGGTTCGTGGGTTTGAGCCCAGCATCGGGCTCTGTGCTGACAGCTCGGAGCCTGCAGCCTGCTTCGGATTCTGTGTCTCCCTCTCTCTCTGCCCCTCCCCTGCTCATGCTCATGCTCTGTCTCTGTCTCTCAAAAATAAATAAACGTTAAAAAAATTAAAAAAAAAAAAAAAAGAACAAACTATCTCAATAAAGGGGGGTGGGGATGGCAGGTGCCTCTAAGGAGCCCAGTCGGAGGTGATCACATGCTCAAGAAAGCTTTGGGATGTCCTAGGAGCTAAAAGTCAGTCCCTGGATCCTGATGGGCCCTCCACCAGCTGACAGGCACATGGAGGGGCTGCCTGCCAGGGTCTGGGCTCCCCTGGCTGGGACGGGAATTGGGGAGCCGCAGGACAAATAGCATCCTTGAATAGGCTGAGCAATTTCCAGACAGCTCAGAGCTGGGGGGCTGAGTGAGCTAAGTCCCTTCTCTCCTTGATCTCTAGGAATAATTACGAGGTAAGTGGTTCAAGAGGGAATCGAGTGGCACTCCTGAAGCCGCATGGAGCCAACAGCCCCTGCCAGAGAGGCCAGTTCACCTTCCATTCTCTTCCTCATCAAGCTCCCCAAGCTGGGGGCACCTGGTCAAACTCTGGTAGCTACACAGAGCTCCTCTCAGAAGGGCCTGGGGGCCTGGGCTCCGCAGGGAGCTTGTTACTAACTCCCCAGACCCGGGTTGAAGGGTGAGCACCCACCAAGCAAAGCCAGGGGCAGAGGTGGAGCCCTGCCGGCAGGGGCCCATGTGACACTGTGTGACACCATGTGACACGATGATCCACGGGCTGCACCAAGGCATCCTGATGCCCGGAAGAGCAGAGCCAGGTGAGAGCTGGCTCGTAATCAGACTCCCAACTGGGAGGAAAGCTGCCAGGTCAGGCAAAGGGCTGGGGCACTGAGGCTGAGCAAGACGCTGGCGGGGTAGCCGGGCGGGGGACCTCCACAGAGGAGCAGGAGCCCAGCAAGCAGGAGTTTGGTCACATCGAGGCCACGAGCAACCAGATCCTGGGTCTCCCCGTTCTGTGTTCCAGGTCAGCCAGGCTCTGAGTAGGGCTCCGGGTGTGTGGGAGTGGGAGGGGTGGGGCATGGCATTCTCTGGCTTGTCACAGGAATCTGTCCCCCTGAAATTCGCCTGTGACTCTGTAAACCAGCCACATAGTAGATGCCACTGTCTTGCAGCCTAGAGTAGTGAGGAAAGTGTGGAGCCAAGAATGGGAAAACTGGCCAGGTGCTCCCAGGGAAGTCATTTAACTTCTTGGGACCTCACACCTTCCTGTCTGTCAAGTGGGTTGCTATGGACTGAATTTCTGTGCCCCCTCCAAATTCATACTGAAGCCCCTAACCTCCAATGCAATAGTACTAGGTCAGGCTTTGGGAGGTGACTAGGTCATGAGGACAGAGCCCTCCTAACGGGATTAGTGCCCTTACAGAAGAGACTCCAGAGGACTCCCTTGCCCCCTAACCCACCATCGAGGACACGGTGAGAAAGAAGGTGGCCACCTGTAAGCCAGGAGGAGGGCCCTTACCAGACACCAACTCTGTTAGCAACTTGACCTTGGGCTTCCAGCCTTCAGAACCGTGAGAAACAAATGTCTGTTGTTTAAGCCCCCTGGTCTGTGTTCTTTGTTAAAGCGGCCCAAGCTGACTATACGCACGGATAACATCTGAATCAGAGAGAGGACGGGTATTAAGTGCAAAGAGTGTCAGCACTGCCAGCGCCGTGAATACAGGGCTGGCGGGACAGGCCAACGCCACAAACACCCACGGCACTCCCTGTGTTCCTGGCATCGGGCTGGGAAGCCACAACGCCTGGGCAACTGAGACACTTACCAGGAGCCTACTGAGCAGACACTGCCGTGGAGACCACGGTGCCGCCCCACCCCACCCAAGGGTTCGAGAGCCATCTGCACGCCCGGCGTGGCCTGCCCTGGCCCCAAGACCCACCTGTATCATGTATAGCTGGGCGATGCGGTACTCCTCCACGGTCATGGGCAGAGGAATCCGATATTCCTTTATAATCATCTTGGAGTCCAAGCCTTCCCGTCGATGGGGAACTGCGTGTTGGGACTTCTAGGCGAGGGTCCTTAAATAACCATGACAAAATTCACCAAGGACCCCTGGGAGAGAAAGAGAGAGCAGGAGAGTCACTTCCTGCAAGACTGGTGGGCACAGCAGCACAGAGGACGGGCCTGGTCTTGACTCCACCGTGAGCCTACGGTGTGACCTTGAACAAGTTCCCTCACCTCCCCAGCCTTCACTTCCCTTGTTTGCTAAGCAATCTTGTAGACGACGTGTGAACTCTTATCAGCCGTGGGGTAAATAAAAGACTGTCACCCCACTAGCGAGGGCCAGGCGGCGGGAGGGTGTCACACCCCCTAAGCGTGAAGAGCACTGTGCTCTCGTTTCACACGCTGTTCCGGCAAGAGCAGCCCCGTGCTCTGGAGTAGCTGCAGGCAGACACGGTGACGGCAGATGGCCACAGGAAAGAAGGGAGGGCACACAAAAGGATGAAAAACCCAGGTGAGAAATTTAAAACTCAGCAGTCTGAGGGGCGCCTGGGTGGCTCAGTCGGTTGAGCGTCAGACTTCGGCTCAGGTCACCATCTCGCGGTCCGTGAGTACGAGCCCCGCGTCGGGCTCCGTGCTGACGGCTCGGAGCCTGGAGCCTGCTTCGGATTCTGGTTCTGCCTCTCTGCCCCTCCCCCGCTCACGCTCTATCTCTCTCTGCCTCTTAAAAAATGAATAAACGTTAAAAAAAATTAAAAATCAGCAGTCTGGGACCCTTCAGTGTTGGGGCCATCAGTTCATTCATGTCACCAGACACAGAGGGCACGGCTGCTTCCCGGCAGGAGATCTGGACTTATCCAGAAGAGGTGATCTCAGTGTGGTTTTAGCTCAATCCAGCAAGTATTTATTGGCATCTGTTCTGCTGCCGACCCAGCCTAGGTCTTGGAAGTAGAAGAGATAAGTGAGATAAGTGGGTGGACTGCATCGCATGTGAGTTCTAGCTCAGTAAGGCTACCTAAAAAATAAACAGTGTACCCATGGAAGCTTCTCTTTAAGATGACAAAGAATACTTTTGAGGGAGACGTGCACCGAGAGCAATCAAATGTAAAAACAAACAAACAAGGCTTGGAGGCATACTCTCAGTGATCTGGAAAATGGAATTACCCATCACAATCCTTCCCCTAGATGGTGGGGGCTTTGCTGTGGTTACCCCCAGAGAGGTTACACGCTGCTAAATGGAAGGTGAGTGAAGGCTTCCAAGATGGACCGTGGCAGAATCAGGATAGCATTTCAGAGGGACCACGCCAGGGACAGCAGTCGGTGAAGATTCATGGTGACGCTGGGTAAATGATAAGAGCGAGGGTCTGGCCAGGCAGGCAGCCTCCCTGGGGCACCATCTGTCCGAGGCCTGAGCGTCACCCAGGCACTAAGGCACTACTGGCTATGTAATGAGATTGGGGGAAAAGAATGTACCAGAACTCTTGGAACGATCAGCATGTAGGGTTGAAAGAAATTCTTTAATAAGCCACCTAGGGAGAGAGACTGAGAGGTGGGGGGTATTACATAAATAAGTCAGAGATGGCCACTGTATTATTAGCCTCAAATGACCCCTATGTTACTCACTTCTGCACAGCAGGTGGGACTGTTAGCCCAAAGCCCCAGCACAAGCTCTCACGCATCCAACTGCTTTAAATACAGTCCAAATAAACATCTTTTTAGCTAATTAGAGGTCATCTACTTTACATAACCCACGAAGCTGCACCCCACATTTGCTGGCCATAGAAAAGACAAAGCCTGGGGCAACAAAACACCGCAGACAGGGAGGCTCCCCATCACACTTCTGAGTGATGTCACCAGACACATGAGCGCCCTGTCTGACTCTCCTTCCCCTCCTGGGTGGGGGCCGCACATCACTGCATTTGCAAGGCCTCATGCTGGGAGGGACTTTCTCTCTCAGGCAACCTGTCCAAATGCCACAGGATAACACTTGTTGTTACACACTTGTTGTTACAGCCCCCCTCCCCTCTCCGGGACCTGTCCCCTCCCTCATCAACCCAAAGCCCTGAACTTACCACAGAGAGGAGGGGGTTGAACTTTCCAGAGTTTACACTCAAGAGCATTGCTAACCTTCGTTCAAGGTAGATGGGTGCAGCCTGCAGCTGAGAGGGCCCGTGGGTTCGAGCCCAGTGAGCCCTGACACTGTCCAGGACGAGAAAGCAGAGGCTGTGGGCTGCCCCCACTCAGCTCTGAGACCCACCTGCCCCGAGGCCCTCAGATCTCTGCTCAAGTCTGGCTAGAAGCTGAGGCCACTAGAGACAGAGGTGATGGCCCCAGAGCCCCTAAAGTGTCACCTCCTGCCACGAGAGACTGGGATCAGCCAGGTGGCAGCACATCCAAGCCGACACCTGGAGCAACTTTCAAGTGGCCGACAGGGTAGGACAGGCACTGGATATGGGGACCTTCCTGACACAAAGGAGAGAGACCCACATGCTTGGGAGAAGCTCGATGCAATGAGGCCTGGAGACAAGAAGAGGAAGGATGAGGTTCAATAAGGGCCGTGCTTCCAAGGCTTTTCCACGTGGTCTTCTTTCAAGCCCAGGATCACCTTGCTGGGAAGGTACTAGATGCCCGTCACAGAACAGCAACTTAGCCAGTTGCTAAGTGTCAAGCATCGTGCCCTGCACGACACGGTGGCATGCACACCGATGTCTATGGGGCCTCAGGGGGCCTCTTCTGCAACACAGGACAAATGCAATGACCCACAATGACTTCGGGCAAGTCCCACTGCATCACCTCAATAACAAAGAAGTCAGATGGAATCCCTAAGTGTTCTTGAGAAACTGTGGGATTCTAAGCAATCTGACCTTTGGTGATCTTAAAGGCTCCACGGAAAGTGACCTGCCTGTGCTCGCCTGTGCACAAGTCAGACCAAGTGTCCATGCAAAGCTAGGGGCAAAGCCTGGGGCTGACCAGCGGTGCCGGCCCCATGACGGCCAGGAGATGAGCAGACCATGTGAACGCTCAGGATACAGCTCCATCTGCCACTGGGTGAGAGACCGTGTTTCTGCCTGTGCAACACCAGAACTCAGAGTGGGGTGCACAGACAGACAGAAGGAAAGAACAGAGTGCCGCACAGTTAGAGATCAGTGCACGGGGACTAAGAACAGGTCAGAGGGATCAGACCTCTGCGAGACCTGGGACATCGCAGGTGGAGCCCCAGTCTGGGATCTGAGTTCAAAACCTGACAATGCCTTCATTGACCATGGTCCCCCAGGACGACTGACGGGGCCTGCTGAGACTCGGTGTCTCCATACAGCAAATGGGGATAACATCATCTGCCTTCCAGAGTTGCCAGTGTCTCCAAGATGACAAAAGTGGACCAGCCAGGGGTGGTGTTTGTCAGTGCAGAGGGGGGACTAGGGAAAGGCTTCAGGGAAGGTGGAGCTTTACAGTGACAGGAGCGGGGGCTTCCTGGGACCCGAGGTATCCCCAGCAGACATGGACGTGCTGCAGAACAAGCCGAGCAAAGGCCCTGAGGCATAAATGTGCCACACTATCACAGTGACCTCCCACTAGTGTGCCCCAGCACTGTCATGCCACATGCTGGGTTTGGGGCTGTGCAAATGCACGGAGGCCACCCCACAGTCACTGACCACAGGAAAGGGTGGCGTTCAAGGCTGAGATGAGGCCATGCCCTGCAGCCGAGTGCCCATGATGTTCAGTGGGACAGGGGCAGGGTGACAAGAGACCATCATGTGCTTCCAGGAGTGCTCTCCTTCTGAGGGACAAGAGACACACTCCTCAGACAAGGTCTGAGCATAAAGCATGAACTTCATAACCAGAATTTCCACAGGCAAGCAAATGTTATCCTTTGAAGCAGCCCCTGGTGCAGGTATGCGGTCCCCCGTGTCCGCCGGGGGTCCCCTCTGGAAGCCCTCAGAGCTCTGCACCCCTTCAGGAAGCTCCCAGTGAGAGGAGCCGAACTCAGGAGATGGCCACGGGTGATCTCTCAGTGCTGGCCACATTGGGTGTTGTCTTTCAAGCTGATCACTCTAAAGGGGTCTCGTCAAGGACCAGCATTTTATTTAGTTAAGAAAGAAAGTCAGGCCTGTTTCTTTACAGCTACACCCTCACCAGTGGGTTTGGGAATCCATCCTGACTTCCTGTTGAAGACGGTGGGGTAGGAGCATTTCTGTTCTACCGTCCTCCCTCGAAAACAACACAAACTACAGAGATAGGGGAGTCCTCGTGGCTGATGAAACCAGGCAATCACTACTCCCCCAAACCACAGACACCATGAAGTCTGAACTGGAAGAAAGGAACATGCTGACAGCTTACACATGCCTCTTCCTTGGACCCCCAAGTAAATATCACTTCTTGAAAGTCATGGCCATGATCCTCCTGCTGGAATGAAGAAATAGGATTGTGGATGCCACCCAGGTGAGGGGAGGCATCTCCCTGGCTTGTTTTTCTAAAGAAAAAACTTCTTGTAAGTTTATTTTGAGAGAGAGAGTGAGCACAAGCAGGGGAGGGGCAGAGAGAGAAGGAGAGAGAGAGAATCCCAACCAGGCTCTGCGCTCTCTGCGCTCACAGCCCAAGGTGGGGCTCAAACTCACGAACCATGAGATCACGACCTGAGCCAACATCAAAAGTCGGATGCTAAACTGATTGAGCCACCCAGGCACCCCCAAAAGAAAAAGGTTTTATTTGAAGTATTACATACATACAAAATATGCATATATCATAAGTACAGATATAGTTTCACAAACTGAACACAACTGTAGGACCAGCAAGGATCGAGAAACAGGAAGTCAACAACCCAGAAGTCCCCTATGGGTCTCCTTCTAGTCATAGCTCCTCAACTGTGGACAACCACTCTCCTGCCATTTGCTTCTTTTGTATTTTAATGAATTGCCAATATCCAGTTGTCTTTGGGTGATTTCATACAGAAGCATACTGTATGTGTTTTTGATCCTGGCTTCTTTTGACCATGATGCTCATGTGATTCGTCCAAAT